GTGTGTGTGTGTGTGTGTGTGTGTGTGTGTGTGTGTGTGTGTGTGTGTGTGTGTGTGTGTGTGTGTGTGTGTGTGTGTGTGTGTGTGTGTGTGTGTGTGTGTGTGTGTGTGTGTGTGTGTGTGTGTGTGTGTGTGTGTGTGTGTGTGGTGTATATTTATGCGCGCGCGCATACATTTGAAGATCATAAAAAAATTTATTTAATCCGGAGCGAACCAACAATTTTTCTCTTTCCCGAATAACATCAGATGATAACTCGTCCCCTCTCCGTTGAGAACAAGACGATTGGCCTCTTAAAATACAACATCGGCGATACGGTTCGATAACGATATGAAGAAAAAAAATGGAGCGCTCGCGATCGGCACGTCGCGTTCCTCTTCGAATTTTTCTGCAACTCAGTACGCGGCATCAGTCGTTCATATAACGTTTTCTTTTCCCCGTTATTCCCCAATGATAATTCTGCTGGAAAGGTACACTGTGCGTATGCAACATAGGCGACAGTCTATCTCGGTCAGATATAAAGATAAGATGTAAAGGACACACATGAGATAAATGTCATGCGAAAAAAAGTATAACACGAATGAAAATTTGACAAAAAAAAAAACATGATTGCATAGACAGATTGCGCATCAAAGTATCAATGTCTGCGAATTCGAGCGAATTGTTGTCATAGGATGGAGACAAACGGATCGATCGACTCGATTGACAATCGAGCGACACGAGTATGTGGACGTTACGTTATCGAACGTTATCAATGTTTATAGAGGAAGTTGCTCTTACATATTAATGTACAACCGATCTCGGTGTTTGCATACTCCGTTCTATGAAATGGAAGGGGAGTGTGCACGTTTTTGAGACGTTAAAATGAGGTTATAAATATCTTTCGATTGATCAATAAAACCTGGCGGATATACAATAAATGTCAGACGTCGTTTTCTTTCGTATCACGTAGCGCGCTGCTCTAATTACTTCAATCGCAAATTTATTATTAGATTGGTTATTCTTTTTTTTAAAATATATTAAACGCAGGAATCTCATATTGCAACTAATTAAATATTCATTAAATAATATGAAAATTATTCACTTGGAAAATAACATTATATCTTTTAACTATGAGTTATTTTTCCAATATCCATTTTGCATCATTGCTATTAATACTCATAGAAAATTAGATGTGAGTTTATAGATACAATCTAAAAATTATATTGAACTAATTTATGAATGAAACATAAATATATTTAACAAAAACTTGTAAAATTCTATCTCAACGTACAATTAGACATTCTGAGAATTTACTTTTTAATCTAGTGTATTTATTTATATTCAATTAACTTAACTCTTTTTTTTTCAATTGAAAAATGAAATAACGATAAGCATACATGTATAATTATATTTTTGTACATATGCGTGTGTGTGTGTGTGTGTGTGTGTGTGTGTGTGTGTGTGC